TTTATTCTATTCTTTCAGTATTTTTTGTTTAGTTATTCTTCATGATTTTTATATGCATAATATAGAACACTTCCCTTTAGATTAGGAAATCCAATGTCCACTGAAAGCGACACAAATTGTAAAATATAAAATTTCGCTATCTGATTTACTTCTCGACACCTTGTAAGCATACTGTTCTACATAAAATTTAATAATGAACACTTATGCATGGGTACGAAAATCACATCTTATAGGTGCCAGAATAAGCTTATAATTGAAGGATGATAAGTCAATCTGGAAAAAAATCTTAACTTCTATATTGCAATAAGATTGATTTAATTTTTGCATTTTAGATTCTTCCCTTTTAGTAAATTTAAAGGTAATACATGTATAAGTAGACGTGGAAATTGTAGAAGTATGTAAATGCACTGTAAATCATGATCTTGATAAGTCAGATTACAGTTTTCACCTATGGAGAGAACGATTATAGGCATTATGCCTGCTGTTCAATCCATTTCATTTGTAATGAATAAATATATTTTAAACTAACAGTTTTCACTCTCATTGTTTAACCCTCGAAGATTTCTCTCTCTTTCCTATTCCACGTTTCAATCTGCAGGATGCTTATTTCATTAAAGTAACTTTCTTTTAACTATTATTTTATACATACCAATTTTTTTTCAATTGAGATAAACCTTGAAAAGTAACACACGTCTGGATCTCGTGACTGATATTAACATAAATGAAGTTAATAATTACTACCTTTAAAAAGCATGATGGTGATCGTGTACTGACTTGAAATATCATCGTGATTGGACGGTTTCTCGTTTCAATCAATTTTCGTTGTTTAAAATAATCTTCGATGAATTGGTGAGGCAGACTATTATTGCATTTGTATGATTCTATGAAATCGTTAATAACTGTTATAATTGGAAAGATGATAGCATTCAAACTCATTTAGCAATGCTTTTAGTCAATAACTATCCTTACGATTATTTGAACTCTTTCAATTTATTTTCTTGCAGTAGGATATTAACAAATTTACTAAAAGTTTAATCTAGACAGTAATGGGATGGAAATTTGCAGGATACTGTCTTAAATCTCAGGGGTTTCATTTTTTACGAAGGCACAGAAAACCGTCAGAGAGTTAAGAAAAGCAAGTGCAATATTCATTGCAAAATATAGGATCCTTGTCCCCTGCCTTTGCTTAAAAAGGAGGTTATAGTGAGTTTGTCTCTCTGTCCGTCTGTTCATCCGTATAGCTGCCTTTCCGTTCGTCTAGCTGTCTTTCATTCTGTCTGTCTGTGACTCTTTTGTTTCTGGATGATATCTCCAAAAGTCTACATGTTTTTGTAATGAAATTTTATATCTAAGAGATTAATAACTCCAAATGACTTTCAAAGGATCCATATTGATTTTGAGGACAAAAGATCAAAGATCGAAACCAGAATTTCCTACACATAAAAAGGTTTGGAGAAAAAATATTGATCATAATTAAAAGATATTAAATCTTCAAACATCTTCTTTCTGGACACTTATAGACAATATATGTATATTGTATGAAAATGATCTTTGAGCTATCTGCTATACTCATACATTATATATTTTGGTGGTTGCTATGGCACAAAGGGAATAATTGATAAAGTGCCCTTAAGTCAACTGATTGATTGATTGACTGTATGATTTTTACGTCCCATTCAATAATTTTTCACTAATAAAGAGATGTCACCATATACTGGTGAAGGGCTTCAAATTTAGACTTATACTCGGCACTCAGGGCCATTGAGCAGTGAGGGTTTTTCATCATGCCAACGCCTATCATGACACGGGACCTCAGTTTTTAAGGTCTCATCCAAAAGACCCATGACTTTCACTTCTAATGCCGGGCGCATGGCGAAGGATAAGTCACTTCCTATGTTTACGCCTTAGGTTTGACTCGGCGTGACGAACGACAATCTAACCCTGGCCTTCCGATCACGAAGCAAACGTAACCGCTGCTAACTACTTGAAAAAGCTTTCTTACTTACTAATTCCAAAAAATAAGTCAAAGAGCTAAGTTCACTTTATGCATAAAATGGCCCTGTCTTTACATCAATTAATTGACTATCCCCCTCTGTCCCATTTCATATATCAAAATAAAGTAGAGACTTAGTGCTCTCATTCCCTATAACAAAATTTCTTTTTGAGAATCTAGGTGTTGGAAAGCAGGCTTTGAGAAAATTGCATATTTTGGATCAGAAGTTGTGCTCTATATGAAATATTGAAAAAATATCTCAACTTTTGGCCATTTTTAAGGGAATTTACAGAATATGGGGAAAATGACGCATTTTATGACGTCATAGTGCATTGACTAGAGAGAAAATTACGTCATGTTCAATAGATATACGGTCACCAAAGGTCCAAGTTTTAAATACTGCATTTTCAATCAAAACTGAGCAGTTTGGATTTTTCAGAAATTCTCAGGGCCAAAAAAGGCCCTAAGTGGCTCTTGCTCTTTAGGTAATCTATGATGGCTTCTTTTCATTTTAGTTGTCTAAATCAGATACAGCACTTAGCTAAGACTTTCATCAGTATCAAGACTGTATAAAAATACGCTTTCGTTCGGACGAAGACAAGTTGATAACAAACCAGTTACAAGGAACTATTCAGACAAATATATCTTTTGTTTTATTCACTCAATAAATGTACCAAACATCCAGTAAGTTTATGATAGCCTTCATCGGGTACCCTCAAATAAGAATTTTTCAACAATTTTGTTTGTATAACAAGTAAGTTTCTACAAAATGTCTGAAGTGATCCTGTTTTAATGTTTGTGTATTTCATAGCTATTTCATAAGATTTGAATTTATTTATTAATTTAACAAGAACTGAGAAATATTTGATGCCCACTTTCGATTCATATCGAAGGAAATGAGGGTGGTCAGATAGATGTAATAAGAGAAGAAAAAACACCACATTTTTTTTTTTTTTTTTTTTTTTTTTTTTTTTTTTTTTTTTTGCAAAAGTGATTAATTTATGAATATTATTTAAATCTATAAAAATAACTTTTAAATGTACTTTTTCCATGATTTTTCAAGTTCAGAGAAACTATATATTTTTACCGATTTTCGAATTATTAGTCTAAAATAACAAGTATTCTGATCATAAGGTGATATCTTTTTAAAATGTAATTAACCAATGTGTGTGTTTTTACAAATGAGAATTTTTTAGAAAGAGTCTCACTTGAGCCATTCTGATCCATGTTTGTCTTTTTTGTAAACTTTCTTTCTTTTTTTTATCTCCAGAATTAACCCGTTTTAAGAAAATTAAGTTTTTTCCGGTTTGGGGAACTTGTGCTTATCTGAGATGATCTGATAAGAAAAATACTGAGGAAATGATTTCAAATAAATATCATTGAGATTGTTAGCATCTTAAAGGACCATGTTGTAAGTAAAGGACATAAAAATGAAAGGGACTTATCGGGACTGTTTATGAAAAGGACAAATTTGTAGGATTTTTTTTTTTAGAATTTAGGAAAATAATTGCTTTTTACATTGTTTAAAAAATAAGTAAATGAAAACTTTTTTAGAATATTGATTGGATTTCTTTTCGTATGATCGTCACGGTAGCTCAGTCGTTAGAGCGCTCGTTCTGTGATACATGTAGGAAGATCATGGATTCAAACCCCCAGTTGCGACTGTCCTAAGTCGATAAGCAATGGGTAACAACTGTTCCTTCGCCAAGTGCTTGGCACTTTTAAGTGAAAGTTGTGGGTCTTTCGGATGAGACCTTAAAAAAAACATGTCACGGCAAGCGCTGGAAAGATAAAGATCTCTCACTGAGTGCCGATTAAAGGTCTAAATTTGAAGCCCTTCACCGGTATTTTGTGAAATCTCTTTATGAATGACAAATAAGAATCAATCAATCAATCTTTTCGTAGGTAGTTATGGGATTAAAACTTGTAATAATGGATTCCAACAACAATTTAAAGAAACTTTGGCAGTTGTATACAGTATAAGGATGGTTTATTCTCTCTCTCTCTCTCTCGAGAATATTTTCTTTTACATTCTTTGTGAAGGGAACGTGAGTTTGGCCTCGATATTATTATTTTTATTGTGCATTGGTGTGGGATTAAAACTTTTATAATTTTCAAAGTGAAAATAACACCTCTGTGAAAATAAAAATTTTTATTTAATGGATAAGCTACAGTTTTTACCAGTGAATTAATTTTTGAAAATATTATACATGCCTTAGTTACTAGTAATCAGATGATGTTTTTCAGCAAGTAAAGACTAAAAATGTATGTGCGGCGTTTCTGTAACGAAAATTTAATGTTTCAATGGAAAAAAAATTGATGAATGTTTGCACCAGATAATGTTAGTAATACGGTATTCAAGATCATGTGAATTTCTTTTTACTGATATCATTGTTTTAATTCAGCATTTTTAGAATTTCAAAAATACTATCCATTGCACTTATGAATGTGGTATTAATTTTTTCAACTCTCATTTGTCATATAATTATCATTGATCGAATCATTTAGAATACTAGATGAACGCGTAATACGCTTGAAGCAAATCGACGCTGAACTATAAAAAAGAATTGTCTGACGGTATAATGAAGGTTACATTCCTCAGCTTATGACATTGATTATACACGATCATATATAATCAGACAGGACATAGGAGATCTGCTTCATTTTATCAAAATCGGAAAATACTTGAAGACAAAAAAGAAATAATCAAAGATTCTGCACTACCTGGATTTATTTTATTTATTCTGAGGTATGATTTTGTGGGGAAACTTGAAAAACATATTGTTGTCTGATAATCATTAATGAGATCTTTGTTTATTTTCGAAATACATTGAGACAAGTGAATTTCAGCAACGTTGTTTTGAAATTCTATTGAAAACTAATCAACTTCAAAAAGGGAATTAAACATAAAGTGTATGGAAACACAATTATATACTTCAGATATATTTTTCAACAATCGGCCATTTCCAGGCAGATTGTTTCTCGAGACAGACTGCTTAAGAGGAATATGAAGCAAGAATCTGCTAGTTTGTGTTTGTTTTTACTGTTTATTAAGGGAATATCGTTAACATCTGTTCATGGCCTTCTTTATACTGACGCTGAATCACTTCTTCAGGAGGTATTTAAGAACTACTCAACAGATATCCGACCAAAACAGAACATGTCTGAAGTTTTAGAGGTCTCTCTTATGCCCATCGTTTTTTCTGTGAATGATTTTGATGAGGTGTCTGGAACACTCTCCATTGTTAGTGGCTTTATGCTAATTTGGCATGATTTTCGATTGACTTGGATACCAAGCAACTATGGTGGCATCGAGGAAATTCCAGTTCAAAAGCAAAAACTATGGATTCCTAATATCTTTTTGATTGACCCAGCCAAGAAAATGGAAGCTATTGGGGATGAAGACTTTTTGAGCAGAATTCGTTACACCGGAATAGTATCCTGGACACCAGCGGGTCTGATTCAAACTTTGTGCAACGTTGACATGTATAAATTTCCTTTCGACACACAATCCTGCACTTTCACGTTAGCTCTGTGGGGATATTTGCCATTTGAAGCTAGATTAATCCCTTTTAACAATATGACGTCAGCGGATACGACTTACTACTCCTCGAATGCTCAGTGGACGTTACAAGGGACAACAATGAAGCGTTCTGAACTTGGAGAATACGATAGTTTAATTGAAATTCGACTCATTTTGAAAAGAAAATCCCTTTATTTCGTCATAAACATGTTAGCTCCTATTCTTCTATTATCTTTACTAAATCCTCTAGTGTTTGCCTTGCCGGTTGAAAGTGGAGAACGTGTGTCTTATGCTATAACAATTTTTCTATCGTTTGCTGTATTTATGACATTGCTTAGTGACAGTATGCCTAAATCGTCCGAGCCAATGTCTTTAATGTCATATTTCTTAATAGTTACGATGTCTATGAGCACACTTATATGCGTGTTGGCTGTTGTCACGATGCGTTTCCATTTCAAAGACCCTATTTTACAAGTCTCAAGTAAAGGTGTTTTTATGCTAAATGTGTTGCGACTGCGATTCTTGTGCCACATCTGTAGAAAACCCAAAAAGAAGTCTAAAGTTGCTGACAAGTCTGCGAAATTGGATGTAGCTTTTGAAAAGAAATATTCTGTTGCTGAAAAAGATGCGCAAGATATTGGAGTAGAGAAAAAAGTAACTTGGAAGATATTAGCGGAGGGATATGACAGAGTAGTGACGTACTATTTTTACATCTTTGTTGCCATTCAGTGGTTCATCCTTATGATAGCATTAATGTGAAAGATTTTTTCAATAAATTTTTAAATAAAACATTTAGACTTTATGCTGGGAATTTTTCTTCTCCTTCTCTTTTGCATTGTTTGGGCAATTTAAACAAGAGGTCCATGGGCCACAACACTCCCCTGCGTCAGTATGGCCCTGCTGTTATTCATCAGCAGATTTTTTCTCCTGTATATTCATGTAAAGCTTTGATTGCCTGTTCTAGCCACACCCTACCCAAAGGGGTCATGTTTTGAATGTAATGGAAACTAAACTTTCTGAGGATGCTTCTATAATCATATAACAAATCATGGCTTTGCTGTTTTTGAAAACGGAATTGTAAAGATGTCTGCCACACTATCCGGGGGGGGGGGGGGGAGGGGGGGTCATGATTTGAACAAATTTGAATATACACTACCTGAGGATGCTTCCATATCAATATGACTAATCATGGCTCTGTTCTTGAGAAGAAGATTTTTAAAGATACATGTATTTCCAATATATGTTCATTTGTAAAACTTTGATCCCCCATTATGGTACCACCATATACTACTGGAGGATGACTTCAACAAACTTGAATCTACAATACATGGGGATGCTTTCATATCAATATGACTAATCATGGGTTTTTGTTCTTGAAAAGATTTTTAAAGATTTTAAAGATTTTTCCAATATATTCCAATATTCCATATTTTCCAATATATGTAAAACTTTGATCCCCTATTGTGGCCCGACCCTACCCCAAGGATCAGGATTTGAACAAACTTGAATCTACACTACCTGAGGATGATTCCCTATCAATATATCTAATTGTGGTTATGGCTTTGTTATTTATGAGACGAAGATTTTTAAAGATTTTTCCTATATATTCCTATGCAAAACTATGATCTCTCATTGTGGCCCAACCCTACCCCCAGGGATCATGATTTGAAGAAACTTGAATCTATTACACTACCTGAGGATGCTTCCATATCAGTATGACTAATTGTGGCTTTGGTGTTCTTGAGAAGAAGATTTTAAATGTTTTTTCTGTACATTCCTATGTAAATCTGTGATCCCCATTGTGGCCCCACCCTACCCCCAGGGGTCAAGATTTGAACAATCTTGATTCTACACTACCTGAGGATGATTCCATATCAATATGACTAAATATGACTAAATGTGACTTTGTTGTTCTTGAGAAGATTTTTAAAAGTTTTTTCTATATATGTAAAACTTTGATCTCCTTTTGCGGCCCCAGCCTTCCCCGGGGGGGCATGATTTGAACAAACTTTAATGTATACTGTGTAATGAAGGTTTCACATAAGTTTCACATATTTATTCTAGTGTGAATCAAGATTTCTTTTTGCTTTAATGAAATCTTCTCGATAAATAGTTACATGTAACCTGTTGATCACGATTTTATTTATTTATTTATTTATTTATTTACTTTTTTGGGAGGATTTCAGAAATCTCACGTTTTCTCAAACATTAGACATCATCATTTTTTTCCGCAGTATTTCTGGTATCTTTTCATTCAAGTTCATTAAAGTATTCATATTAGACATAAAAGAGTTATTTCTCTACAAACTCTATAAAAGATTTAAAGTGATTGGATAGTTAAATGTTCTCATATATGCATAACATCCAACAAGTAGGATATTGCTGACCTTTCAAATCTACATACATGTACATGTATTACATGTATATTGTGTAGGTTGTAGTGGTCACCTGTGAACAAAATTGAGGTTTGTTAAAGGTGCTTGGACACAGATTTGAAGTTAATATTTTCTCAAATTTTCTGTATAATTTCATGACTTATATGTTGCTATAGCATTTCATACTAAAATATAATAAAAATCTTATTTCATATCGAAGTTATTAAAACTCCGAATTTATGGACGCGTTGGATTGACACATCCTTGCGCTTTCACATATTTTAATTTTATTCTTAATACTTAAGAAAATGGCAATTTTGTTGTGTATTAATGAAAAATATTATAACTATAACCCAGAAAATTCAGAGTAGAAATGTTCGAAAGCAAAACCCACTCACAGTATTGTAAGTCCGTGCACAGTGGTGTGTGCAGAGTTTAACAGTTGAACACACCCGGTGAATCGTAAACATTAACAATAACAGAGCTCGTGCCCTGTTTACAAAAACAGTTTACGTTTCACGGGTGTGTTCAATTTGTTAAACTCTATACACATCACAGAGCACGGACTGACAATACTGGTGAGTTTGTTTTGCTTTCGAACATTTCTACTCTGATTTTTCTGGATTATATATGTAATATTTTTCATTAATACATAACAAAATCGCTTCTTTTCTTAAATATTAAGGATAAAGTTAAAATTTGTGTAAGTGCAAAGATGTGTTAATCAAACGCGCCCCGGAATTCGTAGTTCCAATAATTTCCAGATAAAATAAGTTTTTAATTATATTTTCGTGTGAAATGCTATTGCCTTATATAAGTCGTAATATTATACAGAAAATTTGAGATAATATCAAGTTCAAATCTGTGTCTAAGCACCTTTAACGCTTTCGATTTCAATGGCGACAAATACAACAAACACATAGTGATATGCACAGTTCATCATAAGGTTGTATTTCCTCCAATGATAATATTCAACATTACTTAAGCGGATCTAATATTATTTTTATCTCTTATATCTAAAAGATAAATTTGCATCCCCCCAAAATCATAAATTGTGATTGAAAAGCCTCATGCAAGACGGATGAAAAAACAACGAAAAATTCTTAATTCTGATGAAATGATTCAATTTGTGAAAATTGGGATGCATTGTAATTTGCCTATCTGACTTATACATATGCACAATTTTTTAATATCTTTTATTTTGTTTAAGCTCTCGAAAACATTCTTTCTCTTTCCTGATCCATATTTAGAAAAGACAAAACATAAATGAAGAATCGTTTTCTGGCTCTTACAGCTTATATGCTTTAAAAGTCAACAACGTTGGGATACATTACTTTTATTTGCCATGTTCCTTTATTTAAGGTATGCCATATTGAAAACTTATCAAAAAAAAGTTAGTGGAATAACGGACGTCTGGATATTCTGAGCAATTTACATACATGTACCTGATAATTATTACCTGTGAAAATGATTGTGTTCCAGATTGTAATGAAATAGAATAAGCAATGTGGATTGAAATAGATTTTGAATCATCCAATAGAACCATTTTATATGTAGGACTAGCCAATCGGCATTGACATTCAGCCAACCAAATGTTTTGAATTATTAACCAATCAGTACTAATGGAGCATATGCATAGTATAAATAGTGGGATCCATCTAAGATTTATTTACTGTTGGTGTCACTCATTGTCGAAGTTAAGTCACTTGGGCTGGGTTTATGGGCTGTGTTGGGAAACAACAAAATTTTTAGTTAGACCACTCAGCTCAGGGACCTAGTTCCGCAGTGTCTTTTGTGAATTGCTATAGTGTCTCGGTGACTTTAGCTTCTATCTGTAACCAAAAGTAATACAGTGTCTTGATGACTAGCTCTAGTGTCTAGGTGACTTTAGCTTGCGTCTCTGTGAGGTGTTTTAGGTAGTTCCAGACGGTGTCGGGAAACAACAGAATTGTTAGTTAAACTACTCAGTCTACACCTACAGGGATAAGTCTGTATAGTTGGGAAAGCATTATTGATTTAATTATACTTGATTCTTTTGTTATAATTCGTTATTGCTTTGTTTGACAATCATTACCCAGATGCGATCTAGGAAAAAGTTTAAATTACAGATTTCGGTCAGATTTCTATTATAATAATTAAGTGACATTTTGTAGTTATTCAAGATTGTTCTGATTTAACATAAGCATGATTCTTAGGATAGAAACCTAAGCGGACTCAATCAATGATCATTTATATTAGGAAAAATGTTACAAACGTATCGTGTACACAATTACTGACGTCAAAGATCTACATGATTGGATGGTTTCCCATTTTGATCAGTTTCCATTGTTTGAAAGAATCACCGACGATGAACTGGAAAGAACTATATCATGGTCCTTAATTGTTTATATTTGTTTGATTTGGATGGATCCTACAGCGCTCAAAATCATTCAGAAACTTTTCAATCAATATCTATCTCGTACCATTAATTGTGTTTTTCGATTTTCGAATTAATTAATTTACACATAATGGTTTCTTTGCAACAACACGAACAACACGAAATTGATTTATGATGGAATAATCGTATCAGGACCATGGGTTTGTTTGTTAAACACATTTGCCTTAATTGCTTTTGGGTATCTAGGATTAAAAGGCATGGCTTCTGTTGCTAAAATATTCATCGGGTTTGTTTCTAGAGAAGCTTAGCTTTGATTCCTTTTGGAAAAGGGTTGCAAAAAGCATGACTTCTGTTGCTAACAAGAGAATTTTAGACTCGTACAATGACTTGAGATTGATTTTAATCGGGGTCGTGACATCTGAAACGTGGTTTGACCTGCTCAAGTATCATGAAACCAAAAATAAGCGATGACAATCGGAGTATTTTTCTGTAGGCGGTTAGTCGTAATTTTTTTCGACCGAGTAACCGGTTTATCGCATTATTGATGGAATACAATGCTTAAAGATGAAGTAATACCAGTGAAGAGCAAAAGACTGTTTTCTCAATATGAATAACATACCTAAGTATAAGTCTCAGACAACTGTATGAGACCTTCTTTCCATGCTCTGTTGAAAACCATTGTTCTAATCGTCTTCTACATTTATTATGAATCTGTTGCGCCGTCTTCCATTCCTTTGGGCTTCGACACTGCGCAATGATGCGCAAAGTGACAGAAGTAGTCCCAAACATGTTGTTCAGTACCTCTATTCAAAATGCGGGCAACATTTTCCACTTTTTGGCACTATTAATTGGAAGATCTGGGCCCCGTTTTACAAAAAACATAAAAAAGTGTACGACTAAGACCAAAATGTAATTCTGCAAATAGCTTTCTTTCAACATTAATATATTTGCTTTCCTAAACGTTTCAAATAGTTCATGTTCACTCAATTAGCTGAAATGTGTCTTAT